TTAACAGCATACGCATCCTCATCATCAACATCAGCATCAGGAACATCGTCATCATCACCGCCACCACCATCATCATCAACATCATCAACATCACAATCATCAGCATCATCAGAATCCTCTTCATCATCATCATCAGAAGCAGCCTTTTTTATCATCGTCGGCATCATCAGCATAGTCACCAGCGCCAGCATCATCAGCAGCCCCCGCATAAGCATGATCATCATCATCATCATCATCATCATCATCATCATCATCATCATCATTATCATCATCCTCATCATCATCAACATCAGCATCACCACCAGCAACAGCGACAACAATATCAGCATCAACATCTCCGTCAAATGCAACATCATCATAATCATCTGTCTTACCGTCATCATTAGCATCGATATCATCACGATCATCAGCATTATCGTTATCATCATGGGCAGCATGTTCATCAGCATCAGTATCATCAGCGTCACCATCATCACCAGAGTCATCATCATAAGCGGCATCATCAGCATCATCAACAACATCAGCAGCATCTATATTATCAACAACAGCATCGTCATCATCAGCATAATCACCAGCAGCATAATCAGCATCATCAGCATCATCGTCACCATCATCATTAGCATCATCAGCATCAGCACCATTATAGAGCACCATCAGCACCAGCATCATCATCACCATCACCAGCAAAAGCAGAATCGATATCGCCATGAACATAATCATTGCCAATATTATCATCGTCGGCATCATCGTCACCAGCATAATAATCATCATCATCATCATCAGCACTAGCAGCAGCAGCGTCATCGCCATCGCCGTCATCATGGCCATCATCCACGTACTCAGCATCATCATCATCTTCATCCTCATCGCCATCATCAGTATCATCATCAACGTAATCGTCACATTCCTCGTCAGAATCCTAAGTGCAAGCATCAACATTGTCATCATCATAATCAGCATCAGCATTATCACCATCATCGTCACCACCAGCATCATGCTCATGCCCCTCCTCATCAATATTGTCATCATTCGCCGATGTCGTCGTCACCGGCGTCGGCAGTGTCATCATCATAATCACAAATACAAGAATCACCAATCCAGTCAGCATCGTCATCATCAACAGCAGCATACCAATCATAAACATTACTACAATCGTCAGAACCATGATCATCATCCGTAAAAGCACCATCCGCGTCATGATCCGCAGCCGCATCAGCATCGCTATCGTCATCATCACCAACAGCATCAGCATCGCCATCAGCATCAGCATCCTCACCATCATAATCAGCAGCATCATCATCATGAACAGCATGAACATCGTCGTCACCATCATCATCATCACCCTCCGGAGCAGCCGCAGCATCGTCACCAGAATCATCATCATAATCATTACCACCACTACCACCAATCAACATCACCGTCCTCATCCCTATCACCATCAGCATCATCAGCATCAGCATCGTCAACATCATCATCATCATCACCACCGTCAGCACCACCATCATCAGCATCATCATGACTATCATCATCTTCGTCGTCATGGTTGTCGTCGCGGTCGTCTGCATTTCTTTCCTCCCCCTCCTTCCCCTCCTCTGCCGTCCTTCCCCCTCCTCCCTCCACCCCTTTCCCCCTCCCTCCGCCCTCACGCGTGCGACTCGAGACGACCTCGACGCCCCCGTCCCAAAAAAATGTGGTCCAAGGTGACGCCTCACGACTTGAAGCTCTTGTAGTGTTTTGGGCTCAGATGATTCACGACGGACAACCCTCCGAGTGAACAGAGTGCGCCAATGACCGTCGTCGCCTCATTTCCTCAAAGGCTGGCCTAGATCTACGGCGATCGGAGCCAGCAGTGCCAAATGTCCAAAGTCGGATCTCCGCGTTCAGGCCACGCGCACCGCGCAAGAAAGAGACTGCGCCTGTCCAGAACCTAAGCCGATCGTTCCGCTGATCACCATTGTCGAGGCGATGGCCACCTTGATCAACGACTTGTGAATGCAAAAAATGCACCGTCTGAGAATGGCCGGCTAAGGATGGTGCATACGGGGTCCTTCGGAAAGATGGGCACCTGACCATGAGCGAATAGCGTGGGCAAGGCGCACGGGGGAGGCGTTGAAGGGGCTGAAGGGCCAGGAAAGAGGAGGGACGATGAGGGAGAGGACGAGACAAGGGCAAATAGAGTGAAGGGATGAAGAAGACGGAGGGATGGAGAAGAAGGAGTGGTGGAGAGGGAGAGAACGAGACAAGGGCAAGTATAATGGAAGAATGGACAAGAAAGAACGGTGGAAAGGAAGGATGCAGGTGGAAAGGACGAGGAGGGTGGAGGGGAGAGTAGAGGGCAAGGGCGGATGAACAGGAAAGGTGCAAGCGCGTGGGCCTGAGACAGCGAATCTGCGCAGTCCGTGGTGCGCAAGAGATGTGTGATGGAACTCCTACCGGGTGCGACCTGTGGTGGGACGCAAAAGCCGGGTGCGACCTGTGGTGGGACGCAAAGGGACACACCGACACTCTTCTTATGCGCCCCCCCTGAGAGGCGCACCTCCGAACCGAACATGCAGCACCAACGCCGTTACTTAGGCGTCATGGCCAGACGGCGCCCGCCACGGAGCTTATGCTGCAACGGTTCTGAGCGTGCGCGTGGCCCTCTGCGTAGCCAGCGCACATATGGCACGAGTGTGCTCGGGCGGCGCCGATGCGGGAGCGCAGTTTCACAGGAAGTCGTCCACTCTGAGCGCTCGTCGTCGGTTCCGAGTCCTCGACGCACATCCCACCCACCAGCCCGCACATTGCTGGCCAAGCTCGACTGTGACGCCAGGGTCCCTCTCATGCAGATTCGTGACTCGGCGGGGGAGTGATGATGGGCGCTGGTGATGGGGGCGGCGACAACGACAATGACGATGACGATGATGGCTCTGATAACGGCGATGGGGATGGTGCCGACGACGACGATGGTGAAGGTTCTGAAAATAATGGTGATGATGACGACGCTGTCGATGATAGTAGCGCTGGTGCTGATGAAGACGAGAAGAATTGCGCGCGCAGAGGTTCCGATATCCTCACAGATGCCACTGGGGAAGCCATTGGAACTTCATATAATCATAGCGCTACCATCGGGAATGCATAACACGGAACGAAAAGGCTTGTCTGGCCACGGCGGGCCTGGGCCACAAACAAAGTCCTCGGTCCTCGACGTGAGCCTGAGGAACGGCCCAGACACCCGAGCCCCTCCTGAGCCCAAAGCGGTCCGTAGCTCAGCCCTTTGACCGTACGCTTTCGAAGCTATGCGTGCGTGGAAAAAGAGGACTTCCAAAAGATGTCGTCGTGCGCGTGCGGAGGCGCGCACGCCTGGCCCGCCTCGCGCTGCTTGACGAGAGGGGGGGGGCCCGAATGCTCTCTCGACGAGCGCGTGCGGAGGCGGCCCGCATGGTCTCTTGGGACAGGGTGCGCGAAAAAAAGAAACGACCGTGGTGTTGGTGTGATCTCGACGATAGCGCGCACATGCTTCTGGCGTGTGTGCTGAAAAAGAAAAACCCGTAGCCGGCTCAAGGCACGAGCGGGTCCCCCCCTCAGGGTCTCCCACAGTCAAGGGGGCGCCCGACGCTGCTGCCACAGCCTCTCAAAGCGTACTGAAGCACATGGTTTGGGACATCGTTCGGCACGTGCGCGCGCATGCAGCCCGCACAGCATGAGCTATTTTCTAGGATTCTGGCAGGACCACCTGTTTGATCAGCGCGTGTGCACAGCCAGGTATGGTTTGACAAGGATGAGGGGGATAGACTGGCCTGGCTGCCATGGTACAACGTGAGCGATGGTGCACGATTAATATGAAGCACATACGCGGAGGGAAGCGGATAAGTCCGAGCTCGTCAAAAGGTCGTACCTTCTAACCCTGCTTCGGTAAAAGAAGGTGAGACGGATTCCAGCAACCCTGAACCCAAAAACGTAATCTCTTTGGGGAGCATCTTTTACTTCCGCCATCTTCCTCCGCCCTTCCGCTGGCTTCCGCCGGTGGAGGCTGCCTCGTTCTACTTCCGCCGACCTTCCGCTGCCCTTCCGCCGCCTTCCGCCGAGGAAGAGATGACAACTCCGTCGATCCTCAAAGGCATGGCCATTTTCGGAACGCCTCTGGCCAAAGAAGATGTGGGGCGAGCCACACCGACCCACAAGACGGCAACTGTAGGGCACCAAGCGTAGGCCACAAGCCCCCGAGCACCAACCATATACATAGCGCCCGTCCTACGACAGCAAAGGGCACCAACCACATAGCACCAACCACGAGGGACCAACCAGAAGGATAAGACGAGGCCATAACGAGAATGAGTTCAGGTAAGATAGACCCACAATCTCTGAAATCCAGCGGCTCTGGAGGATGTCTCAGGCGCCACGGCCTTCTCAGAGCGTTCCGGAACACTCTGAGAGCGTTCCGGAACGCTCCGGAACGGATATATCTTCGTCCTAGCCCCGTCCCACCAGAGGGAGCCGACCAAGAACGGGGTCACAGAACACCGACCGGGAACGGGGCAATGGAGCACCAAGAGGTAACGGCCGACTGCAGCATGCAGGGCCAGCCCCACACAAACAACATGAGAGCCCATGACGGCAGGCACTAGTTGGGGAACCAATTGAAGAATGCCAGGAAGGGGGGTTAACATTGACTATGGATGGGTGAAGGAGGGTCGAAGGTAGGAACGAGAGGGGGAGAGCGTATGAAAAGGGAACGACGGAGAGGAACACATATATAACATGGGGGAAACTCGCCGGCCCCGTTTGCCGGGGGTGAAAATGCGTGTGAGATATTTGGCTGTCCCCCTCCCCCTTTCCCACTCCCCAGAAATCCAAAATGCCGTTTGAGGGGAGGGGGGGGGGCGGGGCTTTGGAGCCTCTCCAAAATCCCAAGGCGCGTCAAGACGGCCGAAGACGGCCGTAACGAAGCGACGAAACTGTCCAAGAAAGCGCCGATATGGCCCAAAGGTAGCCCGACGGCGATCCAAGCTGGCTTCGAGACGGCCCACGCCACGCCCAAAACATCCCAAGACTACTCCCAGAGGAGCGGGAAGCGAAAATTGCCACATACCCCTCGGAAAACCTACATTTTCAGCATACTCGCCTTTTGCGTCTTCAGAGCGTCCAAGACGCCGCAAGGGCTCCACGGTCGTCCAAGTTCGCCCGAACACGGTCCAAGAGAGCTCCGAGACGGCCCCAACAGACGCCCACGACGGCCCACGGGCTCCCAAGACGGGCCAAGAGAACCCCAAGAGAGGCCCAAGAAGGGAACAACGAACTCACATTGCGAGCCCTTCACTCCAGGACGACCCCAAGAGCCCACGAGAGGCCCCCGAGAAGCTCCAAGAGGCCCCCTGATGTTTCGACAGACGCTCCAAAACGCCGCTGAGAAGAATTCCAAAACACTCCAACTCGGGGATGGACAGACCTCCCTTTAGTAAAACGTGGTTTAGTAAAAACGACTTCGGGCCCAAACCTGGCGGGCGCAAGCCTGGAAAATAACGGCCACGGCGCCCTCTCGAGAACCGAAAACGGACAATTCACTAATCGACGTGTCACTGTTGGGGGTTCTGTCCACCCCCGACCAACGTGCCTTCCACGGATCGCCGCAAGCTCTCACTCGCTCTGGGAGCCCGCGGAACGGCGCAAGCCGCTGGAGACATGTTGGCGAACTGTCGAGGAGGCGGCAACGAGTCTGAAACGTGGCAGGCCCGCTGCTCACGCTGGCGCGCCCGTGTGCGCTCACCCTCACTGAAGGGGACCTGGGACACACTAATAAATACACACAAATAAAAATAATCCCCATATTTCCCATATTTCTTGTGTTTTTCTCTTCCCCCCCACGTCCCATATTTTCCCATATGTTCTGGGGAATCGACGATTACTTGTGTCTTTGTGTTTTTTTCCCCTCCTGACCCACCACAGCTCGAGATCCCCCGCCATGCTTGCTGCTCCCCCTCCACCCCCTCCTCCGTCCGAGGGTCTCTGGGGCGGTCCCGGCGTCTCGCCCGAGACGCCCTCGCAATCCAGTGGCTCCGAAGCTTGAGGTCCCACCAGCCCCCCGCCGTCAGTTGCCAGCTAAAATGGACTTCGCCGCGAACCCACGCCTCCTAGTCCATGCTTGCGCTCTCTCGAGTTCGGGGCATCCACTTTTCCAAAACACAGCCCCCGCCTCCTTCCGGGAGGCATCTGCCACTGCCCCTTCAAAACAAGCACCCACTCAACCGCACTCGAGCGGCCGCCAGCCAGACAGAACGAGAACCGCCCCCCCACAATCTTCGACGACACAAGAGACCAAAAAGCGCACAATGCTGCAAGTACTGGATCATGGGCGGGCACCCGACCACCGTTTCGCAATCTGCGTTTGTCAAGGGTGGTGAAGGTGGGATCATGCGTTCCGCGATTCGCCAGCCCACCATCCTTATCCAGCACCAGCAGAGAGCGGCACGTGACTCGCGGTGAACGCACCGCACGCGATGCCCAACCACGCCGCCGTCACTTTTTGCACCTGTTGCTGCCGCATGTGTGCCGCCACGTGCAATGGCGCACGTGGCGCAGTGTGCGCGCGTCGCGCACACGGCGCACCAGGCGGGCCCGGGATGGGCCTGGGGCACGCCTTGCCGTCGCTCGGACGTCCATTTCCCGTGCATTTTTCGATGTCGTGCGTGTTATTTTTGCTCGATGGTCCAGGATGGTTCTCGATGGTTCTCGCCGAGAAAATGCACACGTCCGAGCGATGCCAAGACGCGGCACACTCGGCGCGCGCGGCGCACGCGGCGCAGGTGACGCAAGTGGCGTACCCGGGCACCCGTGGCACCCTGCGCGGGTGGCCGTACCCCCCTCGCGCGAACGCGGGGCACCCGGCGTCTGCTTCGGTGCCCAAATTTTGCTGCCCATGTCGGGTGGTGACCGGCGCCTGGGCCGAGTCCTGGGTGATGCGTGCGGTGGAAGGGCGGGTGGGAGCGAGCGAGACAGCGTGCGGCGTCATTGTTGGCAGCATGACCCCTTCCCGTGTCACCTCGGTGGCTCCGAGATGGCCCCTGATAGTCCAAGAACTGCATGTGAGGTGGGTCCGTGTTGCCCAGATTGGTTCAACATGTCGTCTGGCATGATGGCTCCGAGAAGCCCCAAGACAGTCCAAAGATTGCTCGAGTTTGCCACGGAGCCTCCAAAGCATGCCCCCGAGAGGACGGTTTCGCCTCGTAAAAGATCTCCTGCCTGTTCAGTGCGCAACACCCTAACAACTGTTCACGCCGAGTTGGCTCTGAAACCTCATAGCTCCCAAATAGCCCGAGGGAGCTCCAAGAAGGGCCCACATAAAGGCCTAAAGGTCCCAAGAGCACCACGAAGGCCCCAAGTGAGCTCAAAACGCTAGTGCGTACGTCTCCGTAAGAGGGCCTCTTGCCTTTCTGAGGGCACCACCGGGGTTTGATCCTGGATGGGCTGGAGGGGACGCGTGAAGCGTCAATAAAGTACCGCAACTACACGGATGAAAGGCGACCCATTTCTGACATGTGGCTCTCGCCTCAGCGCCGCGCACACTCGTCTCATGAGCCCACGACAGGACGAATCGATGTCAATGTGTGGCTCTCGCATAAGCGCCGCAAGGCACCAGTACGCACCAGTATGGTGAGTAGGTGCTAGCGGTCGCTAATAGGCGCTAGTGGACGCTAGTAGGCGCCAGTGGGCACTAGTGCGCGCTAGAAGCGCTAGCACGCGTCAACAGGCGCGAGCGCGAACTATACCATCGGCGCGTGTTGGTGCGTGTACTAGGTAGCGCTTCCTCGGTGCCAAAAACGTTGCAAGTTCACCTTAATAGAGGGTCCACCATAATCGGGGGTCTGAGTCGCTTTGGGGATCTGCTCTGGCCCGTCCTCCTCCTATGAGCACAGCCATGTAAAACCAAAGCATGGGCGAGGCACCTCAACGCCACAAACTGGCAACGAGGCGCTGTGCTCATTGAGCGAATCGGGCACACATTGCTTGTTGTAGGATCTGTGTTCCCACGGTTACGGCAATCTGAAGACTGTGCTGGTTGTGGCTTCGCTCGCTGAGGCGAGAGAGGCACTGCGACCATGGGACGCAGCAAAGCAGAGAACAATAGACTAATAATCCTAATCACACAGAGGTTTGAGGACCGCAACAATATCATAAACAAGTTTTTCCCATCAACAACCACCAGGCGACGAGGACTGCACTGACCGCGAGCACTGCGCATCACTACAGAAAGCCACGCAGCCAGCAGCAGAGGAACGCCTGGCCAGCGATGAAGACTACACAGGGAGGGGAGCAGAGGAGGCAAGAAGCAAGAAAGGACGAAACAAAGAACAAACAAGGAACACTGTTATAAACAATTGCCGCTTGCCGTCTTTCGCGGCAGCGGAACTAACTGCTCCTTCCTTTAGAAGGAGGTGTGAAGATTGGGTATGTGGCAAACTGATGACGCGGGCTTCTGGCCCGCAAACCCTCATTTGTAGAAGTCTGGAAACTCATCGCCACCGCGTCCAGCGCCTAACCCGACACAACAACTCGAGCATTTGAGAATCCATGCCGTGGACTCATCCTCGTCCCTCACCAAGCTCACATAGGTCGAATCCTAGCGCCCCTACGGGAGGGAACAGCAGGCTGCGAGATGCCCTCACCCAAACCGCTGGCATCGGGCTTCGAACGGCGATCTCTCGAGTACCAAGAAGCTGCCAGACTAGGTCCGGGGACATAGATGCCGAGAAAAACAATGATATACTTCCCCGCGCGAGGGACCTGGGTTTGAGAGGTCCATGGGCATCCAACAGGCCAGGGACGCAGGAGCCCAGAACACAGGAGCTCAACATTCTCCAGTCCCCTCCCCCACCGCCCAAACAAACGAAACACACACACATAACACAACAACCAAATAGACCCAACACTATACAGCTGCGGGGTGGCGCAAGGCCTGGCCCTCTCCTCATCGACGGTTCGCCGCAAGATTTGAATGGAAATCGGGTTCCTGTGCAGCGCGATCCGTGAGAGGGGGTACGGGGCAACGGCACGCGTGAGGGCTGCGCCAAAACGGGCGGGGGCGGGCGGCATGCGAGGCTGCGCGCAGAACTTGACAGGAGGTGGGGAGCGTCATGCACGGTTGCGCGCAGAACGTAGCGGGGGGCGACATGCGTTCACGCCCACTGAGACCGCAGGTGGAGCTCCCTGTGAGGGCACGAAGCGCGTGAGTTTTTGTGCGCCGAGATAGGCGGAGGGCGGCATGCGAACGAGCCCACGGAGCCGCAGGTGGAGCTTCCTGTGAGGGCCCGAAGCATGCGAGGGTGTGCCGACACTGGCGTGGGGTGACATGCGATGGCGCCCACTGGGGCCGCGGGTGGGCCTCCCGATGGGGGCACGAAGCCTGGGCGGAGTCTGCCGAATTTGCCGCAGGGCAGCGTGCGCGCGCGCCCACTGGGGCAGCGGATGTTAGGAGGCAACTACTGGGAGGCTTTCGCCGGAAAGATTAAAGAAAATGAAGCCCCATTGGGGAGCTGTTACGCCGGAGTGTCTCCTCTGATTAGGCCGGATTGAACGGGATTGAGCTGGATTAAGCGGGGTTCAGCTGGATTGAGCCGGACTTCGAACCAGGGCAAAATCAGGATTTGACCTCCCAGGAGTTGCATCCGAACGGATGGCGCACCCTCCGCCGTCCCCACGGGTCCCCTCGGAGCCAACTCGGCGCCTGGGCCCCTTCGACCATCGAGTGGGGGTCGAGAACTTGAGGGCGGCTGAGCAGGAGCAGACCAAACGCCCTGTTGGGATCGAGCTCGTTCGGCTGTCCACTCGGCAGCCGAAGGGGCTCCGACGCCAAAAAATCTTCAGAAAAATGAACTCCGGGGCGGGGGCGCCGTTCGGCGGGGATCGGCGGCGGATGCCGAAGGCCCCCAGATCGGCGTTCCGCCGCTCCTTGTTGAAAAACCTCCGTGCCGACAGAAACCATCCGGCCATCTCCTCGGCGCGGAGGGAGAGGATGAGGCGGAGGCCAAAAAGAGGGCAACGGCGATGAGGGGACGAAGGGGAACTTGGAACTCGGACATCCACGAAAAGACGCCAGAAGGCATCGTTGCCAGGGGGGTGTACCACACTGAAGACGCCATGCAGACAGGGATGAAGCGGAGGAAGGGGATGAATGTAGAGTCAGCGGGAATGAATCGATTATTCCACATACTCAAAAAGGAAGAGGGAGGAGGAGGAGGGAGAGAAGGACGAAGAATGAGACTGGAGAAAGTGTTGGGAGGAGGGAGAAGGACATGATACAACAACAGCAGCAACAATCAGTTGAAGACTGTTAGTTCTTATCTGCTCGCGTGTCATTCAACATGCGTATCCCAAATCATCGATAGTTACCCTCCTAGGCTTCGATCATACCGCCCTTGGGGGGGATATCTTCCCCACCAGCCACGTGCAATTGGCGCAGCCTCTAAAACAGGGCAAGGGAGGGGACAAGCGGGAGAGAGAAGGATGGAGAACGCCAGGCATTAACAGGACGGAGGGGTGGAGCAGAAAAACAAGCGATAGAACCAGACAGGCGGGATGTGCCGCCGGACACTAACGCGCGGGTCGGGCGGGCGGGCCCAGACGGCGGGGTTGAGCAGGCGGGTCGCGGAAGCATGAATCCATCATGAATCGAAGAAGTCTCGAACGATAGCGCGATTCTCGAGTAAATCGTAAGTCAAAAGAGACAGAGCGATTCCTGAGTGTTGGGGACGCGGCATCTCAATAAACTGCGAGGAAGTACCACGCGAGAGCGCGATTCCTGAGTAAGTTGTGAGGAACTCCAGGGAGAGAGCGCGATTTTGAATAAATTGTGTGGACGTATCAAGCGGAAGCCGAAATTGTCCTAGTTCGGGGGCAACAAAGCATTATGACGCGCAAGACTTCCCCTTGTAAAAACATGGTGCGAGCCCTTAAAAGAACACTGTAATCTTAAAAAACAACGGGTGCCAAGGGGGGATCAGCAATACTTATCCTGTAGAAACGAAGTGTAAATCATCAATTTCAGACTGCCCTCCCTGTGTCGCCCGGGCGCCATTCAGCATGTACACCCCCATCCCTCGACTCCAACTCCCTTCGTTTATGACCCCCTCCGGGTTTCTTGTCACGCCAGCCCCCTGGGTAAACCTCAACAGGGTGACAAATGCGGGCACAGACGGGCGGACCCTAACGGGCGGGCCCTGACGGGCAGGGCGGGCGGGTGGGACATTCGAGCGGGCGGGCTATGGCTTTCAAGCACGCGAACGGACGGATCTAACGAGTCGCCCGAGCGGCGGACCCCAACGGGCGGCTCGGCCGGGTCCGGCGGGCTACCCTGACCGGCCAACGGGCGGGTGGGGCGGGCGGGACGCCAAAGTGGGCGGGCGGGCTTCCAAGCAATCGACTGGTAGGAGGCAACTACTGGGAGGTCTTCGTCGGAAGGACGAAGAGATTGGGCCCCATGGGGGGCTACTGCGCCGGATTACGCCGTGGATGAGGCGGGATTGCACTGCATTAAACCGGATGTAGCGGGATTAAGCTTGTGGATGCCACGACAATGGACACCCTCACAGTCTTATCATTGAATTTCAAATGTGTTTCAATGATGGGAACATGTTCTAAACATGTTCTAAACATGTTTTTACATGTTCAAAACATGCTTAACACATGTTTTAGACATCTGGAAATTATTTGGCAGCACGCTTCCTCTCCATTAATAATCGACTTCCACAAGATTAAGCGGGATCAAACCGGATTTCGGACCAGGGCAGAGTCAGTATTTGACCTCCCGGGAGTTTCCGAGCAGGCGGATCGGGCGGGCGACCCCTGACGGGCGGGCGGGGCGGGCGGGGCCCCAGCGGGCGTGTCTGGCGGGCGGCTGTGATGCCAGAGCGCCTCTTCTGAGTGAGAATCGAGGCAGTGTCGAGCAGGAACGCTGGTTTTGTTGCATGGCCGGTCTCTGGCGGCGAACACGAGCGCCACTCCCAAGCAAAACACGCGGAAATACAGTCAGATCTAGGCCAGAAGACCACTTTCAAAAAATAAGACCCTCCGTCGGCCAGAACAAACAGAACATCCAAGGGCCTTGTACCCTCCCCAGGATACACAGAAACTACCATCAAACACGAAGAGCACTAGGGCACCCTCGCCGAACCGACCGCGATCTTACACCTCGGTCCGACTGTATCGAACGGGAACGTAGTTGTTGCAAGGGAGGTTGCATGCAACGCCGCTTCGAGAGCGTCCTTCCTGAGCGCTGAACAACGAAGTATTGAGCGGGAGCGTTGGTTTTGTTGGATGGCCAGTTTTGCGGTTGCGAGCCAAAGCGCCAGTCCTGAGAAAAAGGGGGACACATCGAGCGGAAGCGTTGTTACTGCACGGGGAGTGGCTGTATGCGGCGCCAAAGCGAGAGCACCACTCCTAAACTAAAACCCAGAAAATATTGAGCGGGAGCGCTGGTTTTGTAGGACCGCAGTTTTCCGGCTGCGAGTCAAAACACTGGTCCTCACTGAAAGCTGAGCGGCAACGGTGTTGTTGCTGCTGTTGTTGTTGCTGCTGCTGCTGTTGCTGTTGCCGCTGATGCTGTTGTTGGTGGTGTTGTTGGTGGGGTTGCTGTCAGTGCTGCTGCTGTTGTTGTTGGTGGTGGTGCTGATGGTGTTGGTGATGTTGTTGCAGGGGTCCTGTCTGCGGCGCCGAAGCGATAGTGCCACTCCCTGACAAAAAGATACGAGCTATCGAGCGGGGGCGGAGGGCGCGGGCTTTGCTGAAGGGCTGGTTTCGGCGGCAAGCAAGAGCACCCGCCCTGGATAGAAACTGATTACGTTTGTGGATGCCATGACAATGGACACTCTAGCAATCCTGTCATTGAATTAAAGATGTGCTGAACATGGCTTTAACATGTAAAAACATGTTTTAACCAGGTGCTTTACATGTTTAAGACATGTTTAAACATCTTTTAGACACCTGGAAATCATTTGGCAGCATGCTTCCTCTCCATTGATCGACTTCCACAAGATATACGTCTCGAGCGGGAGCGCCTATGTTGTCGGGGGCCGGTTTCGGAGGACCCCCCGACACGCTCGAGCGCGAGCCTCGCTTTCATAGAGCATGTGGTCGGTGCCATGGGGAAGGCGCCAGGGCGTCTAGAGGGGGGTCCGCCCATGACAACCGCTCAAGAATGAACGCTGACTATCAAGGATGTCCAAAGTCATCGCAGGATTCTTAGGTCGGCGCTGGACCCCTTCCATACGCGCTGGGAGCGTGGGTAGCCCAGCGCCGACACAAGAAGCCCATGCAGACCACAACAAGTTTCAGTGCACGCCGTTGCTTCCGAGGGCATGGGGAGCAGCAGCAGGAGGAGCACGAAGAGCAACGAAGAGAAACGAGAAAGGAAGGAGAGCGGAAGGGAGGAGAGGCGGGCTGCTTCCCGCGGCCACTACACAGACAAAGAACTCGCGACTGGCAGCGTGCCTGGACGACCAGGCCCAGCACCCCGTGCCACGATCACCCGAGCGACGAAAAGACAACCTGGCAGGGTGGCGCGGGCCGATAGCGCACCACGCCACAACGTTAAGACGCCCAGGAGCAAGTAAACTGCCTAACAATTGGATGTAGTCATTTGTTCCGTGCAAGAGCAATGCGAAAAATGCGCTGGACGAACACGATATGTGCAACTGAAAACGTGAAACACCGACAAGTGAAATCAGATGCGGTCGTACACAAAAGTGAGTTCAACGATAAGCCAGAATAAACGTGTGACTTCAGCGAAGACGGGAAACACAAGTGCTATTCCAACGAAAAGCGGAAGCACACCTTCGCCCGAAGGCCAATGTTAAAAGCCGCGGCAAATCACCGAAATGTCGCGAACAACGCTCGCTGAAACGAACTCACATTGACTCAGCGCCCGCCCATGTGCGCGGCCACGCGCCCTAACGGCGCCCCGCGGCCTGAAAATGATGACGTGGTATTCCCCTCCCCCTGACCCCGAGACCCCCGTGGGAATCGCTTGAGGCGCGTCGCGCAGTGGATACCGTAGGAGCTCGACCAGAAGAAACCTTCCACATGAAGCCCAACCTGGAGACCCTAGGACGTTCATTGCCTTGTGGTGTGGAAACGTCACGGTATCCAAAGCATAGCCATCGACACCCAAGAAACCCAGGGCACCCTGGAGGCAAGCAGGGTGTTGCTTCGCATGGGTTTCCACTGTACATAACGCGCGCGACAGCGTCGATTACAGATCGCATCGGGTCCATCGGCGCGCGGGCGCTGCAAGAGACGGCGGCCCCAATGCCGCGCGGGCTCTCGGAAGAGGAGAGGGGGCGAGAGGAAGGAGGGGGAAGGCAAATGCGACAGCGGTGCGCGCCGGCTGCACCAACGCGCGCGAGGGGGACGGAGCAGGGAGAATGAGGAAGACGAGCACGAGTAAGAGCACGGCAATGTCACTGTGCAGCACTCGTAACAGACAGCACTACCATCATAAGCTATGCCTGCTTGCGTCTGGATGCTGGCTCTGTTTTGCTCGGGACAGTTGGCCAGGACCCTCGAGAAGTACTGCCTATATGTATTCAACTGCTGAGGGGTGAGCCCGCTTTGGCAGACCTGTCCCCAGTGAATGAGCTTAATAACCGAAACTACCACAATCGCGAAAGCACCGAAGCTTAAGGGCACAGTAAGATTGCATATTATGAGATTCGCGTAGGAGGCCTCCTGCTATGTATAGCCAGACTCTGGGAGGATTAAACCATATAACCCCGTTCCATTGGACTCGAAACACGGGGCGGAACGCCATTGCACCACCGTTGCCTTCGAGGACGAGCGTCCACATCTTGAACACCAACGCCCCGCGTCATCCAGACAGTGCGTGGCGGCGAAGACGGGGAGCAAGGCAGCAGAAGGAGGGACCACTATGCAGGAGGACAATGCTTTTCCCCGCTCATCCTTGGACGCCGCCATGGCGACAGCCATCGGGTCGAGCGTCGCTCGCAAATCCTCGAACGAACGAGCCTCGCCCGATGCTCGCGAAGCAAGACCTGCTGGCAGACGGGGGCCTCGAGACGAGCTTCCTGGGCCACGAGCGCGGCAACTTCGTCCACGATGCGATTGTCTGTGATCATCCGCCTAGGTGCTTGCAGCCGCACCACACGACTATTCACCTGCCAAGTGGGAGATCTTTCCAGCCTGGAACATATCCCTATCCCAAAGCTGGGCATCGCTTCATCACAATACCAATATTAGGGATTCCCTTAGTTTTTCAGGGCGCATCCCTAAGATTGTCATCGCCTTTTGGCGTATCAATCTTCGGGATAGGGATAAGTTCGGGGCTGGTGGGAGATCCCAAAAGAACAACGATGCTGCGCGTCGCGCTCGCCAGCATCTGGCCCAGGCGAGCCCACGGGTCTCGATCTGGGCCGGCAGGCTCCGGGTGCCCCTGGACGTACCACTTTAAAACAAGAGACTCGCAATCGGAAGCATACACAATGGCGCCAGCGGTGCATCATACTGCTACAGGGCAACTTTTAATACATAGGATCTTTAAATATGAGACTTTTAATGCATGATTGATTTATGAATACATGTATGCATGAACTCATCATTATTTTTAATACTAAACCCCTGCATGTTTGATACATGATCCGCACGCGGAGCATGTAGTAAACCGACACTGTAGTAACAAAACTCTGAATTCCCCTCTTGCGACCATCTGTCTGGGCCCCGTGAGCGGCGCAAGGATGGTGGCGCGAAAGTCGACACAATACTCAAGCTAATGAAAAACTAATCCCGATGCCAACGCGGCGGAAAATTGGCAAATTGGTCTCCCCCTCCGCTGGCGTCGTCAAACGCCAGCAGAGGTGCTACCTCAGTGCCCTCACCGAGACTGGCTGCGGACACTTGGTCGTTCGTGGCAACAGTCCTCTAAACCAGAAAGATGTGCCAGACTCCTGCTGGGTAGTGGCTTGCGGTAGAAGGTCGGCCGAGTCGTCGCATGCAGGACTGATCTGTTTGCATTCGCATTCCCAGGTTCTATGCACGATGGGCCCAGGCCGCTTCTCACATCTAGCGAACCACCCTGGGCCAGCAGATTTGGGTATGTCGGCGTTTTTGTTCTGGCTCGTGGCCGCACCCCGCCGACAGCACATGCGAGCATCACCTCGCCTAGCCGGTGGCCTATGCCAGGCACTTCAGATAATTGCTGGATGAGGTCAAGTACGATGCACAATCAACTCCCTGATCCATGCCTGCTCCACAAAGTGCGGACTCGCCGACGCCCAGAGTTGATGTCGAAGCGTTTCAGCGAAATCGATCGACCAGCCAGCACGTATGTCCAACGCCTCGACTCCTGCGTACATGCTATTGTCGAACCCCCACTTGCCACGCGCAGCCAGGTGCGCGTGCGGCACTGTCCATCCAGTGGCCCCCCTTGCCTCCAAGCCCGCATGGGTCAAGTACACGCGATGCACGTGGCCTCCTGCGACATGAGTTCCTTGTTTCTTCAGCCTGCTGGTGATAGAACATTTCTTGCCAACAAAGGCAAGTCTGTTCACCTTACGGCTCACGCACTCATGTTTTTCCCACCTTGACTCTCACTGTTCGTGACAACCAAACCCTGCACAAGATATCCACTCCCAAACTACCCTGCTTGCAACTGTAGAAGTACCGTGAGTCCTGCTCCCCGAACAGCTCCCGAAACCCATTGTGCTTCTGGCATCCTTGAACAAAGAACACCTGTTTGTGGAGAAACCTGCAGGCGCCTTGCCTGAAGCTCCTTACAATAATCAATCAAACAAGACGCATATATTATTGAACTGTTCGTCGCAACCCTCGTGCTGATTGTGATAGGTCATCGATCCAGATGCGGTAGCCCATACTTGGATGGGCCTGCGTGATCTCCTCGAGTACAAAAGTGTATGAGACACCGTCCAAAGCGCGTCCCCGACTTGAACCTTGGACGATACTTCTGGTCGGCTAGAATGGCTGGAATGTCGCACCCAGTTGCCCCAAGTTGCGGATGGCGATGCACTGGGTGATTTCGAAGTAGAGCACCCTCGCTGGAAAAGAAAGGTTGAGGGTACATGCAGCAAGTCCTGGCCACTAAATCGAATCATAGAAAGACTGAATGCCGACATGCATACGGACAGACATGGAGCCTCGATCGAGGCCTGCTGTTGTCCGTGCCCGCTGCGCCTCGGGCCTCGGGGGAAGGGGGTCGGAAAACCCGAGACGCGGTGGATGTGCACATAAACATTGCTCGCAAGCGGCTGCACGCAGCAGGAGGGCAGCCGCCCCCCCTCGGCGGCCCAGAGTCGCGGCGGAGCACCGCCGCGGCCCGCGGGCAACCCGCTCCTGCCTCGGCGCCGCTCGGCCGCACCCGTCCGGGCGCCTTGCCGCGGCGCCTCGCGAGAGAGGCCGCACGCGCCGCCGCCCCTGCGTCCCGAGGCGCATGGTCTGCGCGCGGAGCCATCTGAAGACGACGACGACGACGACGACGAGAACGACGACGACGAGGACGACGACGACGACGAGGACGTTGACGACGACGACGACGACGAAGCTCTGCCTGCCACGCGGCCCCGAGCGACCCGCGGCTCCCAGTCGCCGTCGGCGAGCAGCCGCGGGAGAGCATATACGTCGCTGTCGGCCGCCGCACAGTGGTCGATATCCGCTCGAGCACCGCCTGCCACCTCGAGGGAGAGGTGGAACGGTCCTCAGCGAGCAAGCCTCGAACCCCTGATCCTAGGGGAAAGAACAATGGCATAAACAAAATAACTCGGAGGTCCGCGCGGACCTCCGAGTTATTTTGTTTATGCCATTTTTCGTTCCCCTAGATCCACCCTCCTCGTGCTAGAGTGTATGCGTTCCCTGAGCGATGCCAGGAGGGAGCACCCGAATCGTTTCCACAGGGATGTGTACCCAAAAGCTATACGGGTGGGGCCGAACGATCTGCTCACCTGCAGCGCTGATCCCACCATAAGCGAGGACACCTCAAGAATATATTGCGGCATAGGGGAGCCGCTGCTGCCATGAGCCGCGCATCTGCGCATCTCGTGCCGAAAATGTCCACGCCGAGAGGTCGGGCTCGGCACCCAGGCCGCCGCCACCGCCACCGCCTCGGCCGCCGCGCTCGTGCGCAGGCGGGCCGAGGCGGCCGAGGGAGGAGGATAAGGGCAGAGGAGGGAGGAGGGAGGAGCCAGAGGAGGGCGGGGCAGGAGGGCAGAAGGGCCGAGGGGGCAGGGAGTGGGCGGGGGATGGGGAGGAGGGAGAGAGGAGCTGGAGGGGCAGCAGGAAGAACCCGCCATCTCCTCGACGCCAGGCGGGCCCGTCTTCAACCGGATGTTGTAGGCGCCCGCCTCGACAGAGGATCGTCAGAGCTCGCACGGCCCTCCTCCCCCTCAGCAGGAGGGTTTCGCACTCTGGGGCCCCAAAACTGTGTGGTGACGGACCACGTGGTGACCTCGAACTCCCCAACGACCTCACCGCGCGGTCCGTCACCGCACGGTTTTGGAACCTCGGAGGCCCCAGAACGGCGGTGGCCCCGAATCCCAACAGACTGACCACGCAGTGCGGTCACCCCACCGTTTGGGGGGCCCTCATTAATGCTCTTGCTCGTCATTCCTCCTCCTCTTCTTCCTGCTCTCCCCCCTCCTCCTCCTCCTCCCTCCTCCTCCTCCTCCTCCTCCCTCCTCCTCCTCCCCCTCCTCCCCCTCCCCCCTCCTCTCCTCCCTCCTCCTCCCCTCCTCCTCCCCCTCCTCCTCTCCCCCCCCTCCTCCTCTCATCCTCCCCCTCCTCCTCCCCTCTTCTCCCACATCGCCCGTCGTCCCAGGCCCATTCGGGCTATAAGGAGGTCTGGCGATCACAGGCCTCGCTCAGCGGCTCGAGCACCCACGCGGAGCTCGCTACCGAGGCGCCGGGCAGGGGGGCGGTCGTCGCGTTGCCGCCCTGCCATTCCACCATTTCGACAACACTGCCGCTGCCCGCTGGCAGCACCGTGGTCGGCTCCGATACTATGGACGCGTAAATGGTCGGGGGCCGCCAGAGAAGGGGGCCGGGATGGCACCCGCCTCCTCTCGCTGCGAAGAATGCCGACGGGAGGCTTCTGGCAACTATCGGCCTCCAAGGGCCCTCACCAGGCCCAAGGGACCGTCAGGAAACCACCCATGGTGAAGAGCTGGTCCAGAGGAAGGGGTCTAGACCTCTGGGAGTGCGCGCTGCCCAGAAGAATAACCTTATCGGAGATCGAAGAAGGGGGGGATTCAGGGCCCCAAAGCCATGTGGTGACGGACCGCGTGGTGACCTCAGAATCCCCAACAATCTCACCGCGCGGTCCGTCACCGCACGGCTTGGGGAGCTCGGCGGCCCCAGTCGCTCGAGACATCCATGGAGAAAGACTGAAGTCACAAAACCACGTGGTGACCCCGAATCCTCACTGTCTCACCACGCGGTTTGGTCACCACGCCGGGGAAAGGGGGAGGGGGGAGGTGCGCATCATGGCCTGAGGCGTGAGCGGGGAAGATGGGGGGGCAGAGCCCGAACTGAAAGAAGAGGGGGACCATGAAATCTGGGATATCTCATGGCCCCCGCCATGGCCATTACGGTGAGGACATTGGATCAGGAACCCTTGGAAAAAGATTCCAGGGTCTGGAAACCCGTGGAACGCCAGATAAGGCTTGGCCATGGACATCAACGCCGCCCTCATCAGAGAAGGAACTCTGCAGGGTCTGGAGCCGCCTGAGCACACTCCTGAACCAACGCCCCCACCGTATGCACACACCCCAAGAATCCTCACTACAGTCGGGGCCTTGACCTAAGGAACCCAAAATAAGGAACGAGGCCCCTTTTTTCCATAAGTTGAACCTCGACTTCCCATCGAACACCAAAGGAAAACCCTAGGCAAACTGTGAAACAATTAAGGAACACGGAGCCCCTCCCCAACGAAAAGGGTTCCTTCTTCAGCGCCCCGACTGTACCCTCTCTGGCGCCCCCCGGGGTAGAGAAGAGGCCCCTCTCGTCCGCGTCGTAGAACCTCGCCGCGCCGAGGTACCAGCCCAGCCCCGCCCCGGAGAGCAGGTCGTCCACCACCCGCCGGATCCGGATCCGGAAGGCGCCCGGCTCGTCGGCGTGGGGCGCGACTTCCCACCAGACGCCAGCCTTTAATGAAGGGGCCCAAGGACACACAAATAAATACACACAAATAAAAGGATTCCCCATATTTTCCCATATTTTCTAGGTTTTTGCCTTCCCCCCCACTTCCCATATTTTCCCATATTTTCCTGGGGATCGACGATTAATTGTGTCTGTGTGTTTTTTCCCCTGCTGATTTAAATAAATGAATAAATGAAAAACGGCATACCAAGAAACTGTCGGAACTCCGCGCGGATTTCTTGGATGGGCGCTGGACCCCCATCCCTTGCCCGCGGAGCGCCCCAGGGGCGGCACCAGAGGCGCTGCCAGGGGGCCCAGCGTCGCTCCAAGAGATCCGCGCGGGGCTCCGAATGCTTGGACGCTTCGGGGGCGATGAGGCCATCCATGGACCCCGGGGCCGCGCACCACCGACAAAAAGACAAAAACGGATCAGGTAGAAGAGCTGGTCATAAGATCGGTCCCAGGGTCTAGGGGTCAGTTCCCTGAGCACCCTTTACCTTCACGGCGAAGCCTGCGGCCACGCACTAATGTTCTGCACGGAGGCGTACGTAGAGCCGTCGTCCCGCATGTCTCGAGGGATCCTGCGGACAAGCGGAACCCTCACTAAAGCACAAGAAACGTCTGGCAGGAATTGCGAAATGGCTTTCCGGCTTTGCCTCAAGGCCCTCTCCACACATACAGGAGAACTCATACAAATTGAATGGGCTGAGAGGCAGATCCGCTTTCTTTAGCGGATTATGGAAAACCTGAGCCCACAAATGCTGTAATCTCTTTAGGACACATCATTTATTTCCGCCGGCTTCCGCCGACCTTCCGCCGGTTTCCGCATGCGGAGCCGCCCTCGTTTTACGTTCGCCGCCTTCCGCCAGCCTTCCGTCGCCTTCCGCAGAGGAAGAGCTGAAAACCTCTCGAGCCCCCGAAGGCGAGGCCCTCTCTGGAACGCCCCATTTGGTTAGCGCTTCTGCTCCCCTGAAGATCCAGCGCTGTGCGCTGAGCTCCCAGCCAGACATGTCGACGCCGTCGTCGCCTATCGTCCCTCTCAGCTCGATCGAGCAGACGCCCGAGGCCTCGATGTTGTCCGGCTGCGTCAGCCCGGCGACCGTCGCAATGCGCTGCCATACCGCCATTGCGGCAAACGATGCCAGCACGGCCAGCGCTACGAAGAGCGACCACGCGCAGCATCGTCCACAGGAGGGTCTGCCGACGAGACCCGCGGGCCACCTTCGAGAGACCACCGTTGCACCCACCAGCCCAGTTCAGTCCCTCCCCCTTCCCCTCGTCTGCTGGGCCTCCTAGAGAGGGAAGCCGGGGAGAAGGCCTTCTGAGACCGCGACGTTGCATTGCGGACTTCAGATTGCGAGTGAAGGCGTCATGCAACGACCTTGCGCGCGAAGCCGAGCGGGTGTGAGAAATCGGCATCGCCCGTCTCAAAAATTATGTTCCTTGGGGTCCCGTCTGGAGCCATGTGGTCTTCCCTCGCCCCCGCCCCCCAGTGAGAAAGGCAAGGGGAAGGGGGAGGGTTAGAATCGTAGTCATGCGAACGGCCCCTGACTGCTCTCTGACTGCCGACGAGATGGTCTGCCAGCCACCTCTAGAGGAAGAACAACACTGCATACCCATACAGTTCTGGAACGCCGCGCGGATGTCTTTTCTTGCATCGGCCCTGGAGGGGTCCAGCACCGATCCAAGACAAAGACTCGCGCGGACTTCTGAAAGGCGATATTTGTGTGGTATTACTTTTTGTCCCAGGTGACTGCCGACGAGATTGGGGGAAACCAAAAGGTACCGATGGGGTGCATTCTGACAAGAATCCCATCGTCCCTCTGGGCGTAGGTGGTCTAGGGCGGCTCCTCTTCCAACCCCCTGCTTCCCCTTGTGGGAGGGGTTTACACCTCCCCGTACCCCCCCCCCCTGGACCTGGACGGGGCTGGTCGCGAGCAGTCAGGGCGTCCAAAACGGCCTCGGCGAGGAAGCCAAAGTATTTCGTTTTACTAATGTTTGGGGCTCAGTTTGGCCTCTTGGTGGTCCAAAATGGCCCCGAGAAGCGCCCAGGAGGCCCCAAGAGGCCCCAAGATGGTCCCAAGACGGCCCCAAGAGGCCCCCTAAGAGGCCCCCAGGAGGCCCCCAGGAGGCCCCCAAGAGAACCCCAAGCGGCCGCAAGAGGACCCCACGAGGCACCCTACAGTAAGGTGAATATTGTCGGTAATGAAATGTCAGAGCGCATATGCACGCATCGGAGGCGTCAGGGGGCATGCGTCATGCCTTCATCCTTATTGTATATGTAGCCTGCTTTGCCAAAGAGGCGCGACTTGAAAGAGTGCCCTGCCTCTCAGGGCCCTGTTGGAGGGTGACGACTCCGACTCCGACGACGACGACGACGACTCCGACGACTCCGACACCGACGACGACGACGTCGACGACGACGACGACTCCGACGTCTCCGACACCGACAGCGACGACGACGACGACTACGACTCCGACACCGATGACGACGACGACTCCGACGACGCCTACGACTCCGACGACATCGACGACAACGACTACGACGACGACGACTCCGACACCGACGACGACGACTCCGGCGACGACGACGACGACGACGACGACGACGACGACGACGACGACGACTCAGACACCGACGACGACCGACGGACTGACTGACCGACCGACCAAGGACCGAGGACCGACGATGACCGACCGACCGTCCGACCGACCGACCGACCGAGACGACCGACAGACCGACCGACCGAGACGACGACGACCGACGACCACGACCGACGGACCGACCGACCGATCGACGACCGACGAGAGGACCGACCGACCGACGACCGATCGACAGAGACCACGACGCACGACGACGAACGACGACGACCGACAAACCGACCGACCGACCGACGACTGCAGACGGGACCGACCGACTGACCGACCGACCTGCTGACTGACCGCGGCGACGACGACAACGAACCACGACGGCCGACCGACCGACGACCGACGACGACAGACCGACCGACCGACCGACCGACCGACCGAGACGACGAACGACGACGACGACCGACCCACGGACCGACGACCGACGACCGGACCGACCGACCCGAACTGGCCCCGTTTGGGAGCAAGGCGTGACTACAATGCTAGGACCCCCGCCCACGGGCCGCCCGGGGGCCTGGGGGAACGGGCCCTCCTCCCCCTCCCACACCTTGTTTGCACTTTTATAAACCTAAGCGGGGTGTGGTTCCAGCGCCCAATTTTTACGAGGGATGGTGGTTCCAGCGCCTCATGCCTTAAAGACAGATGGGTTCCAGCGCCCAAGTATTACGAGGGACGGTGGTTCCAGCGCCCCACGGCGTCGGCTCCAGCGCCAAATTTTCACGAGGGATAGTGGTTCCAGCGCCTCATGCCTTGAAGACAGTCACTACCACATGTTCACTACCAACTTATTCACCTAACTGTAAACGCCCAAGAGCCTCCCAGGACCGCCAAGAGACCTCCAAGACGTCCCAAGAGGCCACCAAGAAGAGCCCGAGAGATATCCCAAGAGGCTACGAGAGGCATCCAAGAAACCTCTGGCTCTTTTGCTTTCTCTCCTCCTACTCCTTCTCCTCCTCCTCCTCCTCCTCCTCCTCCTCCTCCTCATCATCATCATCATCATCATCATCATCATCATCATCATCATCATCATCATCATCATCATCATCATCATCATCATCATCATCATCATCATCATCATCATCATCATCATCATCATCATCATCATCATCATCATCATCATCATCATCATCATCATCATCATCATCATCATCATCATCATCATCATCATCATCATCATCATCATCATCATCATCATCATCATCATCAACATCAACATCAACACCATCATCATCATCATCATCATCATCATATTCATCCTCCTCTCCGCTCCCTCATCCACCCATCCAGCCTCTTCCTTCTTCTCCTTCCTACTTCGCACGGTTCGGCCGTCCCCCTCTTTGCTCCCACACTGCCCGGATCACCTCAACTCGCCTGGACATCGTTTCTGGATGGGCTGCAGGGGATTTTTGTCTGTCCGCGAGCGCAAGCGGAAGGGCCGCGCGCCGTCCAAAGCTGCGCCTGGTGGAGATCCGCGAGGCGCCCAGAATTTCGAGGCGACTCCGGCGGTGGCGACGAGGGCCCCCCTGGAGGCCCGAGGAGGCGACAACGGGGCAGGGCTGGCGGCGTGGGTGTGGGCACCCCTTCCTCCCCCGACCGCCTCCGGGGGCGGGCCCCCCAGGCGGAGCGGGAGCGAGCCGGCGAGAGCTCCGAGGAGAGGTCCGACGAGTCCTCCAGGCTGAGCTGCCGGGCGCTCGAGGCCGTCTCCGAGCCGGGCGGCGCCACCCGCGCGGACGGCGCCATGGGGCGGGCCGGCGCTCGGCGGCCCCTGCGCGTCGTGGCGAGCCGCAGCGGCGTCGGACGGGTTCGCGGGCGGCGGCGACGGCGACGAGGGCGAGGGTGCTGTCCACGGCCGGACCCGGGACAGAAGAACATCCACGAAGACCAGGAGGCCCTCCGTCGGCCAGAACACACAGAACATCCAAGGATGCCCTCCCCCCTATGGTGCACAAGAACATCCAACAAGCACGAAGAACCTGTGGGTACCCTCCCCGAACCGACCTCAATCTCAGACCTCGGTCTGACCGTAATTACCAAGGTCCTCCGGACGGAGCGGGGCCTGTGGGATCCTGAGGGGCCATGCGGGAGCAGCGCGGTGTCGTCTGGAGTCAACCAAGTCCTGTCTCGGGATGCTCTGCGATGATCTGAGAGCCACCCATGTGCATTGCTCAATCTGTCTTTCGCTGCACAACTGACCGCGTTCAGTTCTTCTTGCTCCCGGCGGCCAGCGGTGAATGGCAGCTTTGAAAGCGTCCATGTGTAAAGCCTGCTGGGGGAGCGAGCTCTGCCTCTGGGGGGCCGAAGACCTGCAGCGCCATGAAACAACACCGTGCACCCCGCTATGCTGCCTGGGCCGCTCCACTGCTTCAGGCCCGCGGCAGGGCCCCAGGACCACGAAGGCCAACCCACGGAGCAGAATCCATGCGAATGAGTGGGTCGAAAGGATGCGCACGTCTTGACAAGCACCAGAGCGACGAAAATCTCAACAACTGCGGACGCTATATGTGCGGCAGGTCGGCGAACTAACCCAACTCAGCAGATAGAGGCGGGAGGGAACCCATGAATCGAAGCGCAACTCACAATCCGAATCATATGATGACTCCTGGTCTCCTCCACCCTCACGCATCCGTTTCCTCTGCTGGTCCCCTTCCCGTTATGATTATCCTGGCTACTCGCTTTCGACACGCCACCCAACCATTCCTGCGCGCACTCATTATCTATCTGGCCCCATGGATGCCCGTGCAGATGGCTCAAAATCGACTTGCCCCTGCTACATATGGCTTGACATAGCTGTGCACCTTCGGGCGTGGATCAAAAAAGTAGTTGTCCAGTACCTTGATCATCTCGCGCGTCTTTCCCGAGCCTGGCATCCAGTGGAGGGCGCTACAAGCTACCGCACGTCACAGCCCATCGAAGGCATCAGGGCCCGAGCTGAGGGTAAGACACGGCCATCTCACGGCGAACGCGCGCTACGACATTGGACTCAACGTATCCGCCGCCGCGCCCTCTGGCACGTTGAGGCGTGGACGGATGCCAAGGTCTGCCTGGCAGGGTTTGTGGAGTTCTACTACAGGGCCGCCCCTGCCTCTGCGTGTGGACACTTGCGTGCACCCCCCCCCCCCGCACTCGCCGAGCCTCGTGCCCGCTCGAGGACGGTGCACTCCCAGCATGGCAGAGCGCCTGAAACCCAAATTCCACGCGTGCCCACTCGAGGACGGTGCGCTTCCCGCATGGCAGCGAATGCCTTGACCCACACTACACATGCGCGCCCGTTCGAGGATTGTGCACTTCTGACATCATCAGCATCATCAACATCACCAGCACCACCACCATACTCATCATCATCAGCATCATCATCAACATCATCATCATGAGCAACATCATCACAACATCATCATAATCATCATCATCGTCGTCGCCGTCGTCATCACCCCAATTATCCTCATAATCATCATCATCCTCATATCGGCTCTCCCACGCCTGGAGAAACGAGGTGTCACACGTGACGGCCTCCCGTGCCCCCTCGAACAGTCGCCGCCCAGAATGCTCGGCTGGCACGGTGGCGGGACTTGCCGCAGGCAGCTAGAGTAAAGATGGCAAAAGTGATGCTGGACAACGCGTGCAGGAAAGCCTCATCTCGTGCGAAGAGTGGACTTCAACCGCAGGATTGCCATTCATGGCGAAATCAATGATGAGCACAGCTCCTGAAGTCGACGGAGACCACTTGAGCATGCGAGGAGCGCCGTGAGCCGCGCGGTAATCACACCCGTGGCCCTGTGGACGCGAAGTTCCAAACGTAGAGAGAGAGAGAGAAAAAACAGGCAATCGAAAACAGAGCCCGTCGGCAGGCATCAGCATGGGTGAAGCTGCGGCAACACGCCACCACTATGAACAACTGCTCTGATCTGATAGAGGTCACAGGTCACACCTTCCCGTCTGCTTCATCCGCCACCGTGCCGCGAGGCACGAGTTGGAGTGCCCTCAGGTCCCTTGCGGTCCTTAGTCCCCAGCCCTCAGGATTGAGATGGCGCGCGCGTTCTTGCTACTCAGGCATGTCCAGCATTACCACGCCGTACTTGAAACAGAGCGGAAACGCCACCCCGAAAAAACACGGAACGAACTGATTCATCATCTGGCGTCCAGGATACACGACATAACAAACGCGGGACGCGTCCGTCTCCATCATCTCCCACAGCCGGAATTTCAGTCTCCAGATCCACGCTCGCCGCCCTGTCCCCCAGTCTGCTCGTCCTCGCGAGAACGCGTTCGTCTCTATCTCCACCGCACCGGCACTCGGGCCTTTCCCCGAGACGGCCCAAGAAAACCCCAGGACAATCCAAGAAGGTCGCGAGTCGCCCAACACGGCCTCCAAGCGGCCCCGGGTGCCCCCAAGACACCCCTGAACCCCCCCCTCGCTTTCATCTACGCCACCATCACCCTGGACGCCCCCACAAACCATCGAAAACAATATACACTCAAGGGGGATCGGCGGATGTGGCGTAAGCCTAGTGAACCACGGCCTTAGTAGTACGATTATTATTAAAAGTTTATAATCAATGATAACAGTATTATTCTTATCACCGCGAGTATTACTACTATTACCCTCTTCATCCTCCTCCTTCTCCTCCTCTTCCTTTTCCTCGTCCTCCTCCTCCTCCGCCTCCGCCTCCGCCTCCGCCTCCTCCTCCTCCTCCTTCTCCTCCTCTTCCTCCTCTTCCTCCTCCTCCTCCTCCTCCTCCTCCTCCTCCTCCTCCTCCTGCTCGGTAGAGGAAAGAGCAACTCCATCAACATACACGCTCGGGGGTCCACGCGGATCCATTGGATCAGCCCTGGCCTCGCGCCGATCCACAAAAATCCTCGCGGCGCTCCGAACGTTTATGTTCATGCCGCTTGAGTTCTCCATCGACGGGGAGGGCGGGGAGAGGGAACAGACGGACGGTCACATAGGCGCCAGAGCGCGGTTCGCCCAGGGACGAAACTGAGGCGCCGCAGCGCCCAGCATGCAAGCTGGTGGGGGAGCCCACTAGATCTGCGGCGCGAGCATGTTACAGCATGGATGGGGAGGCAGCAGGATGGAGAGCAGACCAGGACGGAAGGCGAGAAACAAAGAAAGACAGCACGCAGAGAAGCTCGAACAACACATCCATGCCACATGACGAACGTATCGATAGATCAACGCGTCTGCACACAGAGCTACAAAAAAAGAATTGCGTTAGTGCCTAGGCCACACGCCGTGCGGGGATGATCGGATCGACTCGGCAGGAGGAAGAGTCAAGCCCCGCAGCGCCGTTTGGGCCCCCCATGGAAGCCTCAAATTCAAAGATAATGATGGCAGTATTTGTCCGGACAGAACACCTGGGCGACACAGCCCGAAGGGAGGTGCCCAAGGTGCCTGCATGAATCCACATGCAGTCGGACCTCGCAACACGAACGGCGGCACGGACCCGCCCCAGGCGTTATCCGCGCCGCCGTTGCGAGGTGCCTCAAGATGCCACCCCGAGACACGGCCACAGGCACCACCCCCACTTGGCCGCCGGCCTCAAGCAGCGGAGGCCCCGCTGCCCAAGGACTTAAGTTCCCGCGCCCCCCACGTCGGGGGACCCCTTCGAGTAACCCCATCGGGCCTCTCAGGGGTGGTACGGCGGGCCCGCACCTACTGTGGCTGGCCAACCACAGGGCAAGAGTCTCTCCCACAGCCCCGTCGAGCTGTGGTGACGATCGGGCTGCCAACCCGCCTGATTTCCTGGGACGCCACGAGGGCACCCAACGGCACAGGTGCCGATGGCAGTTGGCAGTATTTGTACCCCGCCCTGCCCGGCGGGCAAAAACCTCCCAGGCCCCAACCATCAACCGTGGTGCGGAGAGGGGGGAGGAGGGGGCAGGGCGAGGGGTGGAGACGCGCCCCGGGCACGCACCCCGGCCCTCAGGAGGCCCCGGGGCCCAAGCACTCCTGCGAACAGCACCCCCCGCGAGGCCTTAGGGGGGGCCGTCGATGGAAGGGTTGCTTGAGCCGCACTTGCCCCCGGGCGTCCTTGGGTCACCGCGCGACCCACCTGCGACCCACCCGCGACCCACCCACGAACTTCTGACGAATAAAATGTGCGCTGCATAGATGTGGTAAAAAAACGGCGCCTGCGGCAGGCTTCTTCGAAGCCTCTTGGACTGCCGACGACCCCGCCGCCCCTTCATTTTCGTTCAAAATTGCAGGGTGTTACGGTACTTGCTCCTGGGCGTCCTTGCGTTTTCTTCCCAACCCTCCTGTGTGTTGGTTATCGTTGCGGGTCGGTTACTGTTGTCCCCACCCTTTCCTTTCCCGCCTCCCCCTCCTTTTTCATCCCTGCTTCTTCCCTCCTCATGTCGTGTGCCTCCTCTTCCTCCTGCGCTGCTCCCCGGGTGGCTGCGAACTGCGCAACTGGCGCCACCTTCTCCGTGGGTTCCTAGGGGGTCGGTCCAGCGGGGTCGGGGGCCTCGCGGACCTGGACGAGACCTCGCAGCTCCCTTGGGGACTTTGGATTGCGCAGCCGTCGCTACTTTCGTTGGATCCTGCGAGGCAGCGGAATCGATTGTAACGCCGACCCCGACGAGACTTCGCAGCTCCTTGGGTGGCTGCCTGGCCATCGCCCAGACGTCCATTCCCTGTGCTTTTTCCAGTTTCATGCGTGGTGTTTTCGCCAAGTGATCAAGGATGCTCCTCGATGATCCTCACCGAAGGAAACATGCACACGTCCGAGCGATACCAAGCTGCAAAGAGCGCATCAGTCGCCACTTCCGTGGGGCCTCCGGGAGCGCAGCGGGGTCGGGGAGCACGCAGACCCAGACAGGGCCTTGCTGCTCCCCGGGTGGCTGCAAGCTGCACAGCAGTCGTCATTTCCGTTGGTTCTTGAAGCACTGCGGAAGGAGAGGGGGTGCGCGCAGCAAGCCGAGGCCTCGCAGCTCCCTGGGGGGGCGGCGAGCTGCGCGGGGGGCGCCACAATTCGCGCACTCCTGGAGGGAACGGCGGAGCCTGGGAGTACGCAGACCCATACGGGACTTCGCTGCTCCCCGGGTGGCTGCGAGCTGCGCAACTGGCGCCACGTTCTCCGTGGCCCCCGGGGAAGCACGATCGAGCAAGGGGAATACGCAGACCCAGGCGGGACCTCGCTGCTCCTTGGGCGGCCGCGAAATGCGCAACTGTCGCCACATTCGTGGGTTCCTGAAGCACGGCGGAGTAAGGGAGTACGCGCACCCTGGCGGGACCTCGCTACTCCCTGGCGCAACTGCGCGCCTTTCGTGGGTGTTTTGTGGGGCGCGGTGGAGTAAGACAGCACGATGGACGTCGAACCGATTGTCCCAAGTCAAAAATGCCATGGCCCACGTTCTGACATGTTCGTGGACACGTCGGTTCCCGCACCGCCTGCGGGAGCAGACATGTTCATGAACACGCCTGTTCCCCCTCTCGTTTTCGTGTTCGCCCCGGCGAATCAGCCGCGGGAGGAAGAAAGACAGACAGACAGAGAGAGAGAGAGAGAGAACAACAACAACAACAAAAACGAGAGAGAGAGAGAGAGAAATATGACGATTATGCCGATGACGACGAAGACGACGGCCGGGTGGCACTGAAGCGGGCCCCAACGGGAACACTCACGCACGCATGGGGCGGCGCTGAAGCGGGCCACTCACGTCTCGGCCGCGCCCGCTTCTCGTCGCTCCGTGACGTCAGGAACCTATATCGTGACCACCGAGGAGCGACCGACACGGCCATGCGATGGGCCATAGGGGGAAGGGGGAGGGGCACCAGAGCTGAACCACGTGTTCGGCCGACCGCGCCGCCCGCTGCTCGACGGCCCGCGGGCCGCTGCTTGCTCGAGGGCCCACGGGGCGCTGGAGGCTCGGTCTCACACAGCTCGTCGTCGACATCGCGCGATGAGGACGCTCGGACTGGCTCGAGGACGACGACGGCGACGACGACGACGACGACGACGACATCGACATCGACGACGACGAACTTTTTCAGATCGGACGGAACGCGCAGAGCGAGGCTGGACAGGGCGGCTCCAACGGAAAAATGCCGAAGGTCAGCTCCAAAGGCTCCAGGCTCCGGTAAGATCTGGGCTGGAAGCCCCGCGCCCCCTCGGCTGGAAGCCCGCGCATCCTCTCGGCTGGAAGTCCTCCCTCGTCCGCCGCGACAGGCGCGGGGCGTTCTCGCCTCATGCCCCCAGGCAAGTCGGGCGGACAGCGCCCGCGAAGGCTCCGGCGGAACTGGCCATCCGAAACCCGACTTGAAGAACGGGTGGTAACGCGAGCGAAGTTTTCTCTGCGACGCAGCCACTCGCACGGCTCGACCGTGGAAACGCGCGCAGCCCCGCGAATGCACATGCGGACCCGAGCACGCACTGGACAAAAACGAAGCAGCACCTCGGCAGGGCCCCGCCAATGCGTGCCCGCCGGACAACCGTTCTCCAGCAATGCGCAGAAGGGCTGACCGCAGCGGGCCGCGCAGCGCCCCGCGCCATGGAATGGAACGGCATGTCCCCGCTCCGCGGCGATATTCGCCGTCGCATCTCACGAGCGCGGCGCCGCGAGAAGTCGCGTGAAAAGACTCTGCGCCAGCTAGTCCCCCATGCCACCCCTCCAATTAGCTCGCAAAGGCCCGCCCAGATTTGCGCGCGCGTGGCGCTGCGCCAGCCCCGCTGGGACGTCAACGGCAACCAGCGCTGGCGCGCCCGCCAGAGAAGCCCGCGCGCACATCTGGGCCGCCAAGTTCTTTCCTATTCGCAGCCACGCGCTGCAATGCCACCCCCCGCGCCTCGGCGGCGCCCGCCTCGGCTCTACCTCGAAACGTCTTCCAAGTCCTTGATTCACCCCTCTGTCTCGCCAGGCCCATCCGTCGACGCGTCGCATCTAACGCGGGCATCGCCCCCCCACCCAAACAAAAAAAAACGAAATGCCGACCTTCGATCCGGCGCCCACCTCGCCCCGCCGCCCCGCGCGCGCGGGCCCCCGCGAAGCCGGCGCGCGGGAGCGGCGCCCCCGCGCGGCACGGCGCCATCGAACACGACCCGCCGCGCAGCCAGCACCTCTACAGAGCGAGCCGAGATGGCGGCTGCCTTCAGGGGGCGCCGCCGCCCGCGCCTGGCGCCGACGCCTCGCTCAGCTGGAAGCCCGCGGCCCCCGCCGCCGCGCGCGCGCCGCCAACCTCTCCGCCTTCGCCACCGCCAACGCCCGCCCCCGCGCCGCCTCCACCATCGGCAGCGCGCCACCCGCCCCCGCCGCCGCCGCCCGTCGGGGCCAAGCAGGCCTGACTCAAAAAAAACCTGCACCCCGGTCATCGTCGGTCTCGGGCCCCTCGTCCTCGCCCTCGTCTGCGAAGGCTGGGTCGAAGCGAAAAGCTCCCTGGCATTCCTCCAGCGCTTGCCCCAGATTCGCACGTCCCTCCATGAGCTGAGCGATCGCATTCGCATCCCACTGGCGCCATCGACCCTCGCCGCGCCCTTTTTTTTCTGGCGTGGCTACCGCGTCGCAACCGATGATGATGCCCACGAACAAGGGCACATCTGCGCCTCCCAGGTCGTGACTGATGGCCCCACGGACGGCGCGTAAATCGTGGGGGACCTCCTCGTGCATTGCGTCGCCGTCCTGGGGCACGGTGGGGCCTGCGTGCGAGTGGCCTTCCTTTGCCGCTGCCACGTGGTCGATGGTGCCCTACGCCGTCTGCACCAGGGCAATAATGTCCTCCCTCGTCATGTCGGGAGTGCCGTTCGGGCGCTCCTTCAGCCCCGACTCGTTCTCCATATGGGTCCAAACCGTTCGCAGCGAGGGGCGGATGCGACGGACGCACTCCTCCACCTGATCGGCAAGGCGCCCGCTGAACCAATCGAGAATCATAGTGGCACTCTCTCATGAGTCGTTCGAATCGGGCAGCATCAATCGAGAGCTGCCACTGCGCCCCCAGAGCCGCAAGACCCATTCCCCTGCGTCTGGACTTTCGTCCTCGACAACAAGCGGGGAGGCACAAAGCTTCCTCGCAAGGGAGCCACCTGCAGTGCTCTGGAAATCATTGCAACTTGCGGAGGCTCAGTGCAGTGGGGCCCCCGCGGCCAAACGACGGGACTGCAGCCATAGTGGGCTACCTCTCGCCAACGCTTGGCTGGAATCCTCCTGTTTCGCGAGCGTGCCCACATCGCCCACGCTGTTGCGATCCACGCTCAGCAAGCGCATGGGTACTCTTGGGTGGCAGAACTCCCAAAAAGCACGCCACCGGAAAACCATACTAAGAAATATCCGGATGCGGGGTATTGTCTTTCTCCAGTGCATCTTCTGCTTCATTGATCCCGTCCCCATGTGGATACCGTAGACCTGCCGCCACCACAACAACCAGCAGCGCCCGATGGGCTCTGGAAGCTCCTTCTCAGAATAGCCGCTCGCAAACATGTGGCCGCGCAGGTTCCAAGCCTCGGTCGTCCAAAAGTTGAAGTCGGAGCGTCGCATTAAACGTTGCACCTAGTCCAAGAATGCAGCGGTAGGGCATGGCCGAGACCACCAGCACTTCGAGCGTTCAAGGCCCCGCCATCTCCGCGACACGAGACGCGTTTGCGGTCCCCCCGGAGAGCGGCCAGATGAATGGCACCCTCCGCCCGCCGTTTGACAACGAATTTGGGGGCTCTGTAAAACCTCTTGCGCTGACGATGGCAGCACTGCACCTCCATGTCGTCTTCGAAGATGCGCCGCCAGAAACCCCAGTACACCTTGGCTCAAGGCGCCGGCTCCTCAACATCTTTTGTCTCGTCGGCATCGACGACCTCTGCGCTGGAACTCAAACTCTTGCGCGACTATGACCATGCAGCTACGAAAAAAAACCGTTTAGAAACTCACCTGCTTTAATTTGGCCGTGCTCCATAACCACGATGGTAGCGATGGGGCATCCACCTGCTGGGGACGATGAACATGCTTGCGACGAGGGGCGGACGGCGTGTCGATATCCATTCCGGCCTTGCCCCTGCGCGAAACAGGGGCTGGGCGGCGAAGCACCTCCGAGAAAGCCGAGAGCCGCGTTTGGCCGGAAGCCCGCACAAGTGCGAGGCCCTGGCCTCGTGAGCGGCAGCCGCTCTGCGGCTTGATCCCATATGGCGGCGGGTAGCGCAGCAAGAGTTTTCAACCCGCTGGTGCGAAAATACGCTGATTTGGTGGCACGGTGATCTCGTGATGCCGTTGACGATGCGGCTGGTGTGACGTGGGTGCGACGGTCTGGGGATGGCGTTAATCTGATGAGTTGGTGATGCTATTGATGGCGCCGTTGATGTGACGGCGATGTGACTGTGACGCGGTGGTGTTCAGCTGACTTGAGAATGACGGTGATGTAGGGCCCTGTGCTGTCCCATGTGCGCTCCAAGCGGGTCAAGACGCACCCTTGACGCTCACGGGACGGTCCAAAGAAGGTCCAAGACCGCCGCAAGTCAGTTTCGCGAGAACCCAAATCGGGCCTCGAAGTGCCCCCAGCTCCTAGAAGCTTTACAGGAAGCCCACTGACGGCCGTGACCTGCACAAAAAACAACACAGAAAACGCAAGGCCGCCATTAATGTTAGGTCAGACATGTCCTCCTACAGGCGGACTTTGGAGGAAAAACCAAAATAAAACATTCAAACATAGTTTAAACAAATCATGACTAGTATGAAACTATTGTTGGATACTCCCCCAGTAGAGAGACGTGCCCGACTCAGCTTCAATGCTCCGTGGATGCCACCACAGGATGCCCCGGGAAGGATGCTGAGAGGATAGCTCCGCAAACAGGGAGGTGCCAAGCAGCGGCCACGCGTACAGCCGCGACAGCGGCGGTGGCAGCAGCGCCAGAGGGCACGAGCGAGGCAGGGGGCCAGGCAGGGAGGCGCTGGACGGCGGGCAAGGGCGAGGGGGTCGGGCGACCCCCGTGCTCCTGCAACTACCATTACCACTCGACCTCCTCGAACACTATGGGGTCCCCTGCAGCCCCCCCCCCCAGAATCCCCATGTGCCGCCGAAGCCCTCTCTCACGCCCTCGGCCTCCTGGGAACGACCCTCGTTCTCCTCGCCCTCCTGCCTGAACGTTGTGCCAACGTGGCATGCCTACCAGCGGCGCTCGCCTGGGACCTGTTAGATGAAACGAGCGCGCGCAAGGAAAAGCGAAGCAACGCAGGCAGTTGGCAAAGATCCGTAAAAAGAGTCAGCAGAGGCTGCCAGAAGTGGTGGTGTCCTCTTCATTCCCCTCCTCCTT